TAGGCTATAATGGTTGTATTGATGTATATCAACTTGAAATGCTCCCAAAAATGGCTCCACAGCATGTAAAAATATAATATAAGCTCTGGCGGACTTTGTTCTATGGTAGGTCTTAAAGGGTTAAATACACACATTCAACTGCTTGTTAATATAATTATAGAATCAGCCAATCACATGGCAGAAACTTGATCCATTTAGATCTGTATGGTCAGAATCGGCAGAATCAGCAGGATAACATGCCATGTCTCAAGTCTCAGATCATCTCAAGCTGGTTCCTTGAACATGTGAATGAGTTCTTTCTACTCATACGGTCCCCACTGTCATCATATGTAATGCCAGTAGAGACTCTTTGGGATGTATTGGAACTGGAGAGTCACCTCATGGATAAACAGCTGAGAAATCTGCAGCAACTGTGTGATGCTCTCTTTTTAATTGGACCAAAATCTCTGAGGAATGTTTCCAGAACCTTGTTGAATCCATGCCATGAAGAATTAAAGCAACTCTGAAGGCAAAATGTGATATAAGAGGTGTACAAAGTATAAAATTGATCTCTGGTGTGAGTGTCCACGTGTGGATTATTTTCTTTTAAATAAACTTTTTGCGTATTTAGACTCAAACCAGTAGAAAGTGCATTCATGTAAATTAATAAACAGAAGAAAATTGAGCAAGTAGATTTTTTGTGGTTCAGGTGCATCAATCAGCTGATTTTTTTTAAATTTTTTTTGTATTTCAGTAGTTTCAATGTCACATTTTTTTTCTTTATTTCCCTCTAGACCCTGGACCTGTCATCTAATCACATCAAGGTGCTTCCTCAAAGTATGCTTCACCCCCTCCCAACCATAGAAACTCTCTACCTGGAGAATAACAAGGTGGGAAATACACACCAAGGAGTATGTGATGTGAATACAAGTTTAAACCTTCTCTCAGCTGCAGCCACTCATGGCACAGCAGTTATTTGTTTCTAAAACTGTTAAAGTTTCTGTTCCATTACAGATCAGCGTGATGCCCGATGAATGGTTCAGCCAAAAGGAGGAGGTACCTTATCTCTACCTCTCAGCCAATCCCTGGTCATGCACCTGCTCCCTTGGTTATTTGCGCAGGTACCTTGATGACTATGAATTCAACGTCTATGTGCGGGATGGTCCCGAAATCAAGCCGGGTGTAGAAAGAGTGGTATGTACTACAAACAGAAAAATTAAACAAATACAGACACATCTAAAAGAACACAAAGACTGTGGGCATTTTTGGTTCTGCACAGCACAAGTCACTGGTAAACCACTTAGGGTTTAGGTTATAGAGGCTACTAAACATCGTTTCTGAAACTTACCTTTCAAATCAAGCTGCTCACATTTTGGCCTTACAGTTTTTTCTGTTTGGACATTTCTATATAAAGATGTGTTTGAGTGTGGTGGGGTCATTGGTAATGGTGGAGATTATATATATTAAAACTATACCTGAAGTATTTTTAAATGGTCGCTGTCTTTTTAGGTGTGTGACTCTCCCCAGCAGCACAAAGGTACACCTGTAACAAGTCTGGAAAAATCCGATCTGTGTTCAGCATCTCGTGAACGAGGAGATTTCTACCAGCCAAATACTCTGTACTCTTTTCATCCATCAACCTCTCCTCCAGACCCTGCTCCTTCTACTTCTTCTCCTCTCGATTCCACAACATTTGTAGATTTATACACAATGCAAGCAGCAATCACAAGTTCCTGGTATGAAGTCATCACCAGCTTTATTGAATGGTCAGAGTATCCACACAAAGAGATAACAACAGAAACATCAGTTGGGTTTCATGACTTGACCACTCATTCTACTACATCTACTGCCAGACATTTGACTAAAACTCAAACAACACCTGTTGAAACAACCACAACTGTTGCTGTAACTACAACACTTCCAACAACAACAGTGAAACTAGTCACAACCACCACCACTGAGGCTACCACAGCCTCTGAGGCACTCACCACCACTAAATCCAGCCCCGATGAAAAACAGGAACGTGAAAAACCTATTTCTTCCAGGTCTGCAGGGGTGTTCTGCATTTGGCTGTTTGTGGGCTGCCTGGTGCTCTGTGTGGCATCAGCTGCATGTATATTGGCAACTCTAGCTAGTATGGTCATCTGGTACAGGAGAGTGTATAAGCCTCTATGTTTGCGGTTAGCGAGGAGAAGAGGAGGAAGTGAAGGACTGATGCTGTTAACATACAACAGGGTGGAAGGGAAGGGAGTGGGAGGCGAAGGAGTAATGGCGCTTTATCGCTCTGTTCTTTTGGTCCACAGAGAGGCAGGAGAAGGTATGCAAAGCGAAGATGTAGGTGAAGGAGGGGAAGGAGACAGGAAACAAGGGCAGCTTGTCATTCTAAAACCCGCAGGTGGAGGAGCAACAAGGGAGGAAGAAGGAGAAAGAGATGGGAAGGAGGAGCGAGCAGTATATAAGAAGACTTTGTACCGTCTGTTAAGCAAAGAGGAGGAGATAGAGGGATGGAGGGATGTGGTGGAGGAGTGCAGAGTGTCTGAAGAAGATGGAGGTCAAAAAGGATATCGGGGGATAGAAAGAGAGAGGAGCAGAGGTGGAGAAGGAGTGTCCAAAAAGCGCTACAGTGTGATTCTGAGGGAGGAGAGACAGGATGTGGGGGGCGGTAAAGAAGAGTTGGACTGGGTGGTGGGAGGGTGGGAAGTGAAACGAGGAGGGGCGGAGACAGAAGAAGAGCCAAGGAGCAGCTGGGGGGAGTGGCTGGCACACTATTTACCCAGCATGCCGTGGGGAGTTACCACACCTCCTGAGGCCGAGGCAGCCCTCTGATGTCATCAGTGGAAAAGAACCTTTAGTGTTTTGAAAAACTTGTATGCTAAATCAACTGATACTTGAAATATTCAAGTTTTTATTCACTTTCAGTCCCCTTCTGCACTCCTGTAGCTCAGTCCAATTCTTACGTTCATTTTTCAGGTCTTCAGTGTGCATTTTTATGCTGATGACACCATCTTTTTCTGCCATCTGACTAAAAATACTCAAAGAAGGCTTCACTAAATATGACATGTTTGGATTACCTGCAGACCCCGCTGTTAATTAAAACCACCAACAAATTGCGCTGAGTTTCCTAATCCAGTCAAACTTAATAAATACTTCTTATTTGACTAGCAAGCAAAAAGACCTACAGATCTCATGCTAAACATTAACCTCGCCTTGCTTAAAAAGAACAGCTTGATTCATCTTTAACTCATTATCATTATTATACAATTCACTGTACTGTTGCCAAAATGAGAAATTAATTAGAGATGTCAAAGATACAAAGAAAAGGGTCAAACGAGGTTCAAAAGTGAAAGCTCAGTAGATGAAAAGCACTTTGACGTTATTTGAATGTCATTTTAATGAATATGTATTTGTACAACTGCAACTTTAGCCATAACATACATACAGTACAGTAATATACTGTTGAACAAATCACCATACCATTTATCATCATGGTAAAATTGTTAGAGACTATAACCTCCAGGCCAATAAAGATAAGCTCACCATGTGCCACAAGATGGGATAAAAGTCCTTTAACATGTGAACATTGCATCGCCGTCTGACCACAAGAACTATCAAATATTGATGTAATCTACTGAAAAGAATGAAAATAATTCATAAATGAAAATACATAAAAATGTTTATTAATGCTATGCAATTATTATGTATACACGACTTCAGAATTGTTTATTTGTCTTAAAATTATGTAATAAAGACATCATGTTGTGGTTTAAAAGTGACCTTTATTTAGTCTGAGATCTTATGGCTGTATGAGAGCTACACAGTGTTGGGGAGTAA